GGTCAGAGTTAATTAAATCCGTTATGATCAATTAAAGCCTTTGTGCTAGAACTGAGACAAATAACTTATAATCCATATTCAGCACAGAGATTGGTCTATAAACTGTGCAATCCTGTTTATTTTTCCCTTCTTTTGGAATCACAGAAATAACGGCTTCTCACCATGAGGGTGGCAATTCGCCTCCTTGTATAGCATAATTAAAAGCTGGTAATAAAATTTTAATAATTTGTTGTCTAAACGTCTTATACCGTTCGGATGAAAATCTGTCTGGGCCTAGCGATTTATTTGTTTTAAGACCTAGATATTGCTTTATTTATCTCCTCCTCGGTTATATCTGCAGACAACTTGACGTTTAAACTATCACTAACAAAAGAAAGTTTTAAAGGTGTGAGAAAAACATTAATTTTAGCAGGATCTACAGCCTGAGTTTGGGTCGCTGCCTCCTCCGCGGAGTTGTAAATAACCGTGCCTTCAGCATAGAACACCTTTAGATTGGCCAGGAATCGTGACTGGAATTTGATATCATGTTCCTTCAGTAATTCCTCCATTTCCAAAGTACATCAGGTGCGTAGTCATGATCGAAAGAGATTCTATTGCCTTTCCATTCAACCACTTTCTTCTCCTATGCCGTTTTGATTAGCAGCTCATTTGTCCTGTAGTTCAGAAACTTGGCAATTACTGATCGTGGTTTGGCTGTGGTTGGTGGCTTATGCGCTAGCGTTCTGTGGGCCCTTTCAATCTGGAGATCCATCGCTAAGTTTAAATCTAGTGTCGATTTGAGGAAATCCTCCAGAAAAGCAATCATGTCCGAAATGTTTTCCTCAGATCTTTCCTGTACGCCATAAATCCTGATGTTTGACCGTCTGGCTCGTCTCTCTTGATCGTTAAGCCTAGTTTCAATTTGTTCCGTTAACCGCAGCATCTCCTCTAACACTTCTTCCGTGTTTTGAATTCGGGTCTCCGCTTTGTCTATTCTACTTTCGGCCTCTTCAATTCTTTTATTGGACTTGTTCGATTCTTCTTTTATATCCTGTGACTTGTGACTGGCATGACGAAAATCCTTAATCTCATTGAGAATCTTCTCTAGACTAATTTGCTCTCCCCCATGTGCTCCGTCGCTGCTCGCGCTAACTTGTTCTGGCCCGTTTGGGTTGATTTCATCATCTTTTGTAGTGGTTTTTCTTTGTCTTCCCCTTTTCTCCATAATCACCCCTTCCATATCTCTTTCAACACTTAAAAGTAGTGAATATCTTGATCTGGGGCAAGATAAAAGTGCAAATTGCTAGAGCCAACAAATTATGCTGCCATACACGATTAGACGTGAACCGGAAGCCTCCTTTGAACCATTTTTAAGAAAATGAAAAGAAAAAATAAATAAACTATGGCTACTATAGTTAATCCATGGCAACCACAAATTAACCATGGTTTTGCTACACTAACCAGGGCTGGAAATGGGGGGAACGCGGGGGACGGAGTCCGGGGAGTGAATTTCGAGAGGGGACGACGTTCCATCTCCAACTGGTTAGATTCTTTTTGGAAATGAAAGAGATTTCTATGTTTTATTCATTCAATAGCCTACGCACATAAACGTAGTGCAATATATAATAATAATAATTTTTGAAAGAATTTTTTTGAAGTCACTTGCTTCGTTCCTGAATGAATCAGCTGTTTGAACAAATCGACTGAATGATTCAGTGACAAAGACAGTGACTTGCCGCCACCTATTTAAATAATTTAACATTTCTATATCTAGAACTTATTTTAAAACATTCATCACATAAAATTGTTATTATGAATTTAAATGCTTTCATGCCACCTTTGAACCTAATTAAACAGTCTGTAAAATGCCACTTTTGTGTTTTTGTGTGTATTGATTTAATTTGATTGGTAACTTATGCATCCTGACTGGGTCTTATTAGCTAATTGAATGTAACGTACAAACAACACATGCATATACCAGATATATTTTTAACTGATTAATTATTGTCTAAATAAAGAAAAGGTCTGTATGTGTGTGTGTGTGTGTGTGTGTGTGTGTGTGTGTGTTATGTGAGCATGTTGTAGTTTGCTGGTCAGCCAGGCCCATCGGCGCCTGAGAGAATTTACTTCTCTTTGGAAACTGTTTGAAGTCAGATGGGGAGATGATAGTGGTAGACTGCTTAGCATCTCCTTGATAGTGGGGGGGACCATTTGCCATTTAGCACCCATATAAATGTGTAATCTGGGGCCAGGACTGTAATTTATATGCAAATGTCAAAGGCTAAAAGAGGTCTCTTAAGCCATAAACCCCAAAGACCATCCATGATTTTACGCAGACGCTACAGTCGACTAAATATCATAAGATTTTAGTCGACTAAATCTACAGACGGCTAAAATCTAATGGGTTTAGTTACAGTGTAATGCATTTATTAAGCATTTCTCTAAAATGTCCAAACTCATTATATAGGTTTGATATTAAGGTTTTATCATGATAGAAACAGATTTAACTGCGGTGACACACAACATGCCTTTATGTTAAAATGAAATAAAACCACTTCTCACAAAGAACAAAAAGAAATACCAATGGTTATATAGGCTAATTATGCATTCTTTATAGCAACTTGTTTACCATATTCTTCATTCTTTCAAGCAGGCATATTTATTTCTATAAATAAATTTAGATGAATCTTTAATCTTTAGGGAGTGATTCAGGCAAGAGCAGTGCGTGATTTTCTGTCTTTCTGTTGTTGCTTGATTAACATTTAACATCGATGCTGCTAAAAAGAACATTATTTTGTGTATTTGGTGTAATGAAATGTGTTTATGCGGTTTAAAGT